CATGTTATTTCTCCTGCTCTTTTTCTAGCAAAAATTCACTCATCACTAAATGAAAGCTTAAAGTGAAGACCTGATTATTTCAGGGGCCTTTTCACAAGTCCATTGTTTGAATTTCTGTGTTACTTTGGCTATATTTTCACACTTAAAACAATATGTTGGTGTTCCTCTTGTACCATTGTCCTCTTTTATGCTAAGAAATAAATCTCCTGACAGTTCTCTCTCAAGTGGTTTAATTGTTGTCAGCATTAAGTCTGGGTATGATTCAGTGGGCCATATAACACTTAATTATCAAGAAATTACCTTTAACAGTTTTGGTTCAACATACTTACCTGTTGATCAATACTTGCCTTAACCTTACACCAGTTTTTTTTTTTAGTAACTTTGGACTATAAATGAATCAGTCTTGTCAGTAGTAGAGCAGTGTGTGAACTATATGACAGGCCTACATTTGACAGTTCCTCCGCTCTTTTCTACGCTGTTCTTTTTTTTTTTACTTGCTATCTGAAGCCTTCCGTACTGCAGCTGTGTGTGTGTGTGTGTGTGTGTGTGTGTGTGTGTGTGCGTGTGTGTGTGAGAGAGAGAGAGAGAGAGAGAGAGATGCTGTGTGTATGAGATAGAGAGTATTCCTTCATGTTTTGTGCTGATTTTCCAGGAGATTAATGAGAGATTTGAGATCATCAGAGAAAGAGAGAGAGAGAGAGAGCAATAATTCTCTGAAATGAGTGACCAAACTTGGCTAGTCCTTTGGCTTGGCTATAGCAATCATGCTTGATAAATAAATAAATAAGGTTCACAATCTTCTGATCTGTACCCAGCTGCCTATATTCAGACCAGAAGAGAACCATGCACTGACTTCCAGATACAGCTCGATTTACATACTGTTACTGTTGTTCTTGTTTACTGGTGCAAGTATATGTAAGTATAGTCCATAAATAAGTATATCCAGACAAAATTCAAAAGCAGTTGCATATATTTGTATTTTTGGGGCAATACATACATTTGTAAATCACAGTAGTTGCCTCTCTCAACAGCTGGGAGGTTGAATTGTTCATGATTATTCGCATAATTATTAAATACCAAGGTAAAAAACTCCCACCCCAAAGTCTCACAAGGGATACTGTACACTGTTTACTGCAAATTCGCCATGTTTTTCACACTGAGCTACCTTATACTAATGTCCGTTACATGGATGAGACTATTAATCACTGGTTAACTGTTACGGGTTATCAATGGCCAATGCCAATACTGTTAACTGAAAATCAATATATAGTGTTTATCCGTGTTTAATGCTATAATCGGGTCCCCGGTGCATCTACCAAGCCAGAAAACGTGAACAAGAACAACCCAGTAATTTTCATATTTTTTATTTTTTGGTAAACCTTTCTCTGCACGCTTGTGAAAAAAAAACAGCTGCTCAGATTTTGCTCCCTTTTACGAAGAAAGGGGATATTATTATAATATCACCGCCCCTTGAATCTGCACGTTTCCACCCACGGCACCACCATTGTTGTTTTCACAAGTGACAACGGTGTAGCAGTTCTAACATCATGGCAAAAGTTTGAGCAAAGCATGCTAACTGTTCTGGCTTTGGCTGTATACTGATGAGCACAGAACACTATTTGTAGTCCCAGCCTCACAGGAGACAAGAGAGCAGTGGACTTATTGAGTTATTTACTGTTTATTACGCTGCTGCCTCACAGATCTAATATAAACATGCGATTTCTTTCCCAGCTGTTTAACTTCACAGACATAACTGACTGTTTTTGTAACTCATATGTTTTTAACATAAACTTGTGTGTATTTGACAGTTTAAGCACAATACGACAGGAAAGAGAACTTAGTTTAGTACTCACATGCCGTGTGACAGCTGCTTTCTGTGCACGTGCTCAGGATGTGTGCGCTCAGAAAACCCTATATCAGAAGTTTAAACTAATACGACTTTAAAATGCATTATTTCAGCACAATAGACATGATGATAATCAAAACCAAACAGAAGTTTTTTTTTGTTTTTTTTGGCAGAATATCTGAGGCAGGAGCTGT